GTTCATTAGACTGGTGAATCTGAAGTTTGGAAATGAGAAGTCATTGGGGCAGATAAAATCACTCAAATGAATGGGGTAATTCAGGATGTCCTATTAAATTAGCATAATTTCTCAAACTATTCAAATCACAGTTTAGTTACATAAATGGTTATAACTGTAATGCACACATGTTTTGGCCTTGAGTTTAGAGGAGACACTTCTAGAGTTTACCATTAAGTATATTGTTTGACTCAGTGAGAAATAGATGCCTCCTATTTTATTTTAAAAAATGATACTATTTTTTCTTGTAAAATTTATTGCAAACAGTTGCAATGCCTCTATGCAACTTAATTTGAAATTACTTAAAATATTCTATTCATCCTTGGAAACATCTTTTAGATTTCAAGTGTATTAAGTTCTAGTATTTGTTCTTGAACAAGCAACTGTGTCCTATTGCCCTTCAGCTTTTTCATCTGTAAAGTTAAGAGTAATAATGATGCTACACTGTAAGCCAGACAAGGATATCTTGAAAATTAAATGAGACACGGGCATGAAAGTATTTTTGTGAATTTAGAAGCACTACTTGCATATAAAGAATTATTATTACTATATTTAGTGGTATTTGTATATCCTTAAACCCACAGTATTTTCAATTTTCATGCTGTCCTTTAAGAGAGAAATTTATACTTCTGACAATGCTAAGAGAAACCTCAAATAAAAATAATGACCATATATTAATAACTAACATTGTTATAACACTTTGCCACAACAGACTGGGTTCTTTGAGGGTAGAAACTGAGTTTTTCTCTCTGTAGTCCATTGTCCAGCATAGTGCTGGTCATTAGGACTCGAATAAACATTTGTTGGGCGAGCGAATACATGAAAAAAATTTTGCTATACATTTATTAATTTAAACCTTATATGATTATTGTAAGATAATCAGGCATGGTTTTCAATGCTCAAAGGGTCTGTAGGTAAGTGATTGTTAAATTTCTGTGCTTTATAATAAGCTGTAAATAACTCTATCATTGTAATTAACATGTTTTATTATAATTTTCTGTGTATTATAAGTACCTGAGGACAGGTGTTAAATCAGTACAGCAAACAGACATTGTTAACAATTGAACACATCAATTATTTACAAGATAATTTGTTAACAAAAGAAGTGACTGGGAAGTTAAAATTATCTAGAACTCAATACTTAATTATTATATTTTACTATATTTCCTTCAATAAATACTTCAATGAGTACTTTCTCTTAATAAATATGTAAACATATAGAAAATCAATCATTTTTGTTATAACTATTTCATTTCCTCACATTCCTTTGTATCTCCATTCTCTTAGACTTCTTAAACCTCTTGTTTTGTTGTTGGTGGTGTTTGCATACTAACATATCAACATGCAGCTCTTTTTATCTTTGAATAAAATCCAATTGTCTCTTAATCTTGTTTCTTCATTGGCTCACCTTGGAACTTCCCTTCTTTCAAACACAGCTAACTTCTCCAAAGGGTTGTCTTCATCTGTGATCTTCATTTCCTGACTTCTCGTTCATTCTATAATCTTATAATCTTATTGCAATGATCTCCTGCTCCCACCACTCTTCTTAAAGGGCCCTGGAAGAGGTCACACTCTGCCTGGAATGGCCTTTTCCCTAGTCAACTTGGCCAATGCCCACTCACCTTTTAACACATGACTAAATCTCCATCTCTTCCAGGACGCCTTTTCTCAACACCTTCATTTCCCTGCCACGAAAGACTCGTTATCCTCACTGAGCATGTAAGCCATCTAAAATATAGCACCTATAAGCATTTCTATAACTTGGCCTGTTTGGCTCCCTCCAATATCAAGTCCAGAGCTTGTGCTCTACTCTTATCTCAAAACTTAGTGTTATTCCTGTTACATTTTAGCTGCTCAATGAATGCTTTTGAATCCATTAATAATAAATTAATAATAGAGTTATGTTTTTAAGGAAATATGTCAGGTCCAGTTTACTATCAGGTCCAATTTAGTGACAAGTCTGAACTTCTTTTCTCTCCCTAGATAATGCCTAGCTAGTAAGACCATCTTCCTTAAAACAAGACAGAGATTCATCCCATTAGTATTACTTGGGTACCTTTTATGTGTTGGTAGTAATTTCTTTTATTATAAATTTAGAGTTCTGATAGAACCAGAAAATTCTAGGAAAGACACATACATTAAATATAGAACCTTTTTCAATGATGTCAAATGTCTCCAAAACTAGAACCTCAAAAGTCTAGATTGGGAATGACAAACTCGGATGCCTACAGGGGCCAGGCAGATGATGTGGTCAGGAGGAAAACTTGGACAAACTGGAGAGTACTGGCCCTCTCCAAAGAGGGCCATAGAAACAGCCCTATGTGGTTGCTGACAAATGAGGATGTGGACCCACTATTGACAGATTTCATTTTACAATGAGTGGTGGAAAACATGGGAAATCTGTTGGTTTTTATTTTTAAGTACTATAAACTACATTTCTATGCTTTGGATACAGGTAAGGGGTCTATTAGCTGGTGAATTTTGTAAAACAAAGAGAAAAAGAGTTTTTTCCATTGCTTTTCTATGTGTAAATGTTTCTAATTATCAGAATAGTAAATTTACACAGAATCTTTCTCCAGGGTTCCTAGTGGTGTGTGGGAATTTCAGAGATGCTCTAGAGCCAGCCACCATAGAATGAGCAAAACTTAATCCAAATTTGCTCCTGAATTACTCTGTAAACTCCTATCTACCTCTTGGCAAGGGAAATTCTACTTTTTGTTTCACATGATCTAATGTCTTGGGTTTTTTTTTTTTTAATTTCTTATTTTAAAAATAAGACAAGTAAATGCAGAGATATACCTTGTTCTAGAAAGGGAAAATCAATGATTCAAAGACGTCAATTCTTCCTAAACCTATACATTGATACTATATTAGTTGAATTTTACAAATGGATTTAAAAAATTAATCTAGAAGAATTATTGTAGTTGTAGGAATGAGTAAGGTTAAGACATGCCAATGTAAAGGAAAAAAGAATAGCAAGAAAGACCTCAACAACTACGTGTTAATTTGTATTCTAATACCATAGTGATTAAAAAGTGTAGTGCCAGAAAAGAGAGTTTAACAGACCCAAAACTATAGGAGTATTT